ACCTCTAACTACCCACTGATCTTCTGCAAAATAGTCCTGTGAGCCTCGAACCAATGGATATGGCTGACATATATATAAATTTCTATTATGTATAAAAAGCCACATTCATTACACCTTAAGGTATGGAAATTTTAATTGAAAGTTTTCAGGATTTTCCCTATCTTCTGCTGGCAAGACCACTGTATTTTCTCATACACGTGAGGAAAATTTCCCAAACAGTATCAGGGGGAAAAAGCATGTACATCTTTCTCTCTGTGGGCTGCCCAAATCACCAAGCTTGCAATAAGTGACACCGTAACCAGGGAGTACTAAGAGGATTGAGCCTGTGCAGACTTAGTGGGAGGCAGGAGGATCTCCTCCGGAAGTGTCAGCAGATGCCTTTTGCTGAAGGTATCTCCCTAATGACACCCATGGGAAACAGCTGGAAGAAACCTAGGGCAAGGGTCAGTTGCCTGAACAATTCAATTTAGCCCCCTGTGGGCACCTGCAATGCCTGCATGGGGCTGAGACCATGGCACAGGACACTTGGAAGGCCACCACTCCACTGCAGTAATAGCTGGAGTTCAGGCATCACATGCGTGGGCACCTCAAATGGCAATAGCCCTCTAGATCTACCCACCTCTAATCATTCCGCTGCAAACCAAACTAAAAGCAAATGGAAAAGATAGTAACAGCAAGAACTCAAGTTATAGCTCTCCTATCTGCAGTGTTACAATTAGAGTTTAGGGTCTGACATGTGAATATCACGATCTGATAACAATTACCAGGAAAATACCAACCTAAAGGGCAGTGACACACCCTCCCTGCTCTGTTTACAAATGTCATGGTCATGAGATACTAGTCAAACGCATCAGCAGACTGAAAATAAACCACAATAGGATATGTTGATAAGTATTTATTTCAAAACAGTATAGCCTTTTACATGACTAACCTTAATGTGATTTCAGACTGAGAAGAAAACAACCAATGTTGATTGCATACTGTTTTGGAGTAGGTAAACAGGGAACCACCACCAACCCTGACATTTCATTCTCCTATTAGAAAACATTACAAATCAATTGACACTGGTCAATGCCATTATTGTTTTAAATACATCAGTGAGTACAAGGACAGGACACAACTATGAGGATCACAGGTATCACCTTGGAAGAGGAGCAGCCATTTGCAAGCACCAGGGTTCATCCTTTCAGGACTGTGTTGGCTGGTTTCATGCACCAGGCCAGCAGAGCCCATTATCATGGAGAGGTTAGAAAATGTCTGCCTGGACCTTTAAGAGGATTTTATTCCCAGTTAGGTCACCATCAAGCCATTTTCACAATAGCATCTTGCCACTGAACTGTTGCTAATTAGTCAGTCCCTCCTGCAGCGAGGAGGATGTGACGGCGAAGGTGGAATTCTTTTTAAAAATGGCCCAAGAAGCCCCAGTAAGGATTGCAGCACTTTGTGGCCTACACCAGGCTTGTCACAGGGCAGGGAGAGGGAATCTGCATATCGCAGCGTGTTGCAATCGCTGCGGAAATGTCTCTCTTCTTGCTTCCTCTCCACCCTTGTTTAGAGAGTTAAGGTAAGATGGGAAAGCAGCTGCAGCTTCTAGGCCATCCCATCTGGTGACCCAGGACAGCAGTGACAATGCTCCTTCAGCGTGCTCTACAGAACCTCTTTGGTTGCTTTAATGTTTTCTCTATAAGTATCACTTCTCTAACTGTTGCGAGTAGCAAAAGAAAATTTACAGAAGACATCGAACTGTTTGGATGGTATTGTAATAGGGGCCACACAACGGACAATGCAGTCAAGGATCTGCTGAAGCAAGTGGTTCTGCATTGGGAGACAGAAAACAACTGGGAGAAGTGACTTGACTTGGAAAAAGAGATTCACAGCTCTATCAAAGTCTATGCAGTGACTATTCTAACTCTTAAATAAAGTATGTTTTCCATTTTGCACACCAAAACCTCCAAGAGGATGAAGCAGGACTCTTCCAAGGATGAGTTTAACAGGCTGAAGGGTCCACAGGGAGGGAGAAACACAGGAGCCCCAAGAGCATTGGAGTCTGCATTTGGCAATTTCATCTCACAGATGTCTGGACAGATAGTCTGATTACCTAAAGACATTAGCAGCTTTATTTGAATTCTCCCAAGAATATAAAGAGGGAAAGAGAGGTTGCATGGCTGGGTATTTCTGCAGTTCCTTAGTGAAGACAGAAGCACACAGCCCAGAAGGCTTGGAGAGAGTTCTTTGAAACAAGAAAGTGGCATTTCAAACTAAATGCCCACCTTCCTCCCCAGGGTGATGTACTGGTAATGCCAGAGTGCAACAGGCTGCTCTGCTGGTTCTCTGAAGACAGGAAAGCCTAGGTATGAATGGCAGGTGCTTCATCTCCTCTCTTCTACCAAGCAGAGCAGGCCCCACAGCACTGAAGGGGACTGCTGCTTGTAGAAATAACCCACATACTACGGTAGCCACATCTGTCTGAAGATCCACAGAGCATTACTTAGGCTACATGCCCACTACAGCATCTGCCTGCCCCTTATACTACAAGGGCTTCCTAGAAACAGTGAGCATCTTGGTCCAAAAGTGATTTTCATCCCAGCTCAGATCACAATGACACCAACACCGTGTCTACCTTCCTACATGCACTCAGCTCAGCAGTTTACCAAACATGCTTGAAATCTGAAGGGCCAACAAGGAAACAGGGTATCAATGCTGACAACCTGAATTTTAGCAAAGATAAAAGGAGGGTTATAGAAAGAAAGTGAAACATTTAAACACACATAATTATTCTACTGTTCTGTCATGCATCTGCTTAAGTTGCATTAATCTGCAAATTTTCTCAACAATTGGCCATTCATGGAATAAAACTTATTTCTAGTGAAAAATTATATATATCCCAACACTGGATGCATCTTTCATGCAGAAGAGGAAAGCACTCAGTGCAGTGGGAAAGGGTCACCTTATGAATGCTGCAGAACCCCTCAACAGATAAAAGTTACATTCACTTCCTAAATATTAAGAAATACACATAAAAAGGAGACTTCCCAACAAGATGGCAGAAAGCACAACCTAAAGGAAGAGGCAGAGGACAGCCATGGACACATATTGCGAAAGGCACATATTGCGAAAGAGCTCTTCCAAGATTATGTCATTTCAAATATGCCCCCCCATACCAGGAATTTGCCAGGTCCACAAACTGATTTCTCACTCTTAGACACTTTGGAGAGACTGTCTGGTGGGCAGTTGGCAACACAAGCACCAGGACAATATGATATCTCCTTGTGTTCTGAGAATTTTTTATTATGAGGGAGTGGTCTCCTTATGCAGAACACACAACAAAGACATGCCTGTACAGAAAGGCAGATTCAACCAAAACCAGCAGCAGAAATGATGTTCTTTCCAAGTACTTTTTATTCTCTTAGTAATTAAACTAGCTCAGAAATTAACATAGCATTGTGAAGTACTACCTCAAGAAAAGGATGTACTGTGGCACTTGTGTTGTGTTTGTATAGAGCATTGCTGAAAGCTCATGGACTTTCTGAAACTTGCCACAGTGTAAATAGCTGCTTCAGTCATATTCCATTTCTCTGTATGGGAAACTAAACCAAAGACTTAGCACTCTGCGGAGCTGAGTATATGATAATCACTAAGTGGAAACTCGCCATGTTTGGGAATTCAAGTCATCTCCCTTCCTCTCCAAGACATCCTTTGCTTGATCCTGGCCAGCCATGGGAAGTCAAAGAAATATATATGGTATGACTCATCAGTCAGTCAATAAACCATGCAAAAAAAGTCAACATTTTTCCCTTCATTTTTTTCTCACAAGTCTCTTTTACAACCTTTCCCTTCCACACACACTAAATACTTGAAAAACACGAGCTTCCTGTGCCAGTGGATTCTTTGGCCTCTATAATGGTTTCTAGTGTGAAAATGCTTCATAATATTCTAACACAAATGAATAGTTTTAGCCGGTCCCCTTCAGTACATGTGCTTATTTTTCTCATGTCAATGACGTTAATTTAAATAGAAGACATAATAAAACAGGAAAAAGTGTTTCCTAGTAAGGTGTTAAAAGGCTGACAGAAACATGCAATTACCATAGCATATTCATTTTTAATTACAGTCTCTATGAGGTCATTTCAGGCATGCTGGAAACAGAGAAATTATTCAATACATAACTTTGGCAAATATATTACAGCAAATATATTTACAAATATATTCCAGAGACACTGCCACAAATTTATAGTACAGAATAGAAGCCATCAGTTAGGAAGGCAGTAGATACCAATTCTTGTAATGGAAGCAGTATTTAAAAATGTGAACTCAACCACATCCTCTTTAGTATGAGTTTACCAACATTCAATTTAGTCTTCCTTAATCTGTAGAAAGCCTAAGATAACAGCTCAGAGAAGCATAAAACTATACATTTTATATTAAAAGAAAGTCAGAGTCAGAAAACCAGCTATAATAATTAGACCTTAATACTGACAACTATGTCCATGTTCAGCCCTGGAATAGGTTTGTGAACTCTGAATGAACTCATTCAGAGCTTTCAGACTCAGTGTAAAGGCTGAAAGAGGACTACCATCGTTTTGGAACAACAAAGAGCAGGAATTAATAATCCAAGCCCGTAGACTTGAGGTCCTAGACTTCAAGTCCCACCTGTCCAAGAGCACAAGAAAAAAGGAAAGGGAAGATTCAACTCTAGCATCTCAAAACTGCAATCCAGCTGAAATGCTTTCCAGGGCAGCAGACACACCTAACCCAATCTACCACACCTGCCCATCCAGCCTCATCACATCAACAAACCACAAATTCAGTTCTGTCCAGTGAACCTGCTTAGCCTGTGGAAAAGACTACCAGAATACAGCATAAAGCTGATTTTATTTTCAAGTAGTTAGCACAAAGAGCAAGAATAAGCTGCTTCCAAGCTTTGTGCTTTCCATAATAAAAGTTAATTTCTGAGCTTACCTGTAGCTGCCATACAGCTTGGAGTTCTCTGTGAATTCATAGTTGTCCTCACATTTCCATCACAGGGGTAACAGTTAGGTGCATTGTTCTTTTCTTTCTGCAAGCAAACAAAAGACAGAGGTGATTTGGAGGCATTTACTGAACACACATTTCAGCCATTTAGTTAAGACCAAGGTAAGGGAGCAGGAAAAGGGGAAACAAAGAACAAAGCCAGTTTTAAACCACCTTAATAATATCCAAGCCCACTTACCCACACCTTTGCATAGATAAGAGTAGTATAAGGATGCCACGCTGATGGTAAGTGGTGGCCAAAGTTGATAAAGAATCAACACAGGCCAGTTCTCAAGGAACTGGGCTGCTTGTCCCACACGCTTTGTTGCACTGCTAGAACACCTGATACTCAAGAAGATAACGACATTGGAAACACCTGATCCAATTTGGACTTAGCCTTGGTAATAGGCCTTTACCACCAGCACAGCAGGACATACTAAAACTTCCATAATTAAGTTGGCTACTTAATTATGACTATTCTTGCTTTTCTTTTAGTAGTTTCTTTATGATGGCACAAGAAATCCTGTAATAGGTGCTTTTAGCATTTATTTAGCAGGCAGCTGATGAGCTCACCGCTCAGTAGTCTCTCTAGAGACAAAGTTAACATCTATTTTGCTTATGTGCAAGTTCAAGAGTCCTTTCCCACCCCTCCGCGAGTGAACCTGCATTCAGAAAGTACCACTTGTGCTATTTTAGCTCTATTCAACCCAGTATCTCCTCAGTGAGGTCCCTGTAAAAAGAAGCACTGGTAAGGCCCGCAAACTCAGCCTCAACTCAGTGGCCCACCTGAGGTGGCCAGGAAGGGCCAGCACCTTCTCAGCTCCTCCACAGGGCAGATGAGGAAGAAAGATAACCAAAATTACATTAAGAGAATTGAACTTAGATTTTGTTGAGACTTTAAAGCAAATGTTTCCAGAAAGGAGGGTAGGGGAGAGTCACAAACCTACATACGCTGCCTGGTCTCCAGCCGCACCACAGCAAAGGCCGCCCAGCTGCATCCACTTTAGGCTCGCTCCAAGCCCTAAGAAGATCCATAGCCCAACCCTCCTCTCCTGAGCTCCTTAGAAGTGGACTACTAACCCTTGCAGCCCTTTTATACCAATAGCCTCACATACTGGGAGAAGCCAGCCAATCCTGTCACAGCAAGAGAGGCCGTGCCCTATAGCTGCAGGGCAGGAGGTCCAGAGCCCGCCCACCGTGGGGCTGCCTTTTCCCAGACCCTCAGCAAAGTCAAAGAATTGCCCCCAAAAATAGAGATGAATTTCTTGGCTAGCTATCACCTCACCCTTGTGCAACCACTCCCTGCAGCCATGAAGGGTGATAGGTGGCCAATGTGTGGGTATGGAGGTGTTGGGGTACTCGGTGGTGGTCGGACCCGGGACCCCTGCACTTCTCCATAGGCCCATGGGCCACCTTGGTCCCTGCTTACAGCTGGTCCTCCCTGCTGGCACCGAGCCGCCTCTCCAGGCACCCTCCCTGAAGCTGACGGAGCCCAGGGGCAATGGCCAGCCTTCCTTAATGACACCCATGTCCCCACACCAGTTTTCACCACAAAGACCATCTCATTCATCTCTCCCACCAGAAGCAGCAACTTCATGGGGCTCCAACTCCTGCCTGTTAGCTCAAGCCAAAAGGAATAACTGTAAACTCAGAATAAATACTAATTAACCCGAATCTTCCTTCATATCGTGATCTGAATCAGATGCTTTATCCATCTTTAACTTTAGGCTGCTTTGAGATGAACCCTCTATCTGCAGCAGGCAAAAATAAGATTCCTTTTTTTGATAAAGTTATTTGTGGGCCTCAACCAGACAGATTTCCTGGCAATGCTGTGCTCTTATCTTTAAATACTGTGAACTCTCAGGGGTTTGAAAGGCCGTGTATGTTGATTGCCTCCAATACAACCAGTTTTGTGATCAAGGAGAATTTAATCCAGCAACTTTTCCATGTCCTGCTGGAAAAAGAGTGGCCATGAAGGTGAGATACTTCTCACAGCGAATACGGCTTTGGCAGTGCATGCAGCATTGAATAGAGGCTGTCTCATAAAACCCAACTGAAGGCCACACAGGAGCATGGCTGAGATTTATTCTCCAAAGCTGGGCAGAGTGGGGTGAAAGCCCTACGCTAACTCCTGTTGAGCTGGTTGAAATCAAGAGTGCTTTATATGGGTTTTAGTATCACAGACAGAATGACAGAACAGGGTTAAAAATTATTTATTCCCCTGAGTATATCAACATTTTCAAAGCTGCTTTGTTTTGATTTTTTCCTTTGTTGGAAGTAGCTCCAATATTTTCTAAATTACTGAAAACCACTGTTGAAAGCTAATGTAACAAAACTATGTTTTTCATTATGACTGTTGGTAATTATGCAGGCACTGTACATATAGAGAGGAAACTATACAAACCAGATTTACTGTAAAAGCCAAGACCTTTCATAAATGCAGCTGTGTTCTCTTGTAGAAAAATAGGTTATTTGGGGGAAAATATTTTTGAACTTCAAAAAACAGTGACAGGAATACCAAACAACTCTTGGCAAGAGCTGTGCAAAGCGAAACTCTGCCCAGTTCCACCTCTCAAGCACCTTCTGCACAACACAGTCTCTCAGCAGCTAGGTTGGTAGCCAGTATTAGTGATATAACCTTCATCTCACTTCAGTATAGACATGTAAGTTATAACAAGCCTGCAGATGAAGTCATAAAATTAAGCCTCTACCATTTTAAAGTTGCATAAATACTGTTTAAGTGGCTTAAGTGTTTTGTTTGTACAGCACGAATGTTATTAGTATATAGCAGCATAGTGAGCCCAAAGACGTGTCCAGCAGTGCCAGCTACCCAGGTGATGGCACTCCTTGCCATCACCAGACTCTCCAGTGCAGAACACAAAGGGCCTCCCAGTCTGTAGGACACATATCTGGCTTGTGAGGCCAGGACATTACCCACCCATTTGTTACATGAGTGCATACTGCTTATGTGTCAATGCACCTCGTCAGGAACTGGGTCTTCTGAAATACAGACTATTATTGGTTGCACTGTGTACCTGACTGCGAGTGCCACATCCACCTGCACCTACTGCTGCCACTTAAGAAGAAATCTAGGCAAGAAACCTGGGCTGTGCACATCCCCAGAAATCACCTCCTCACCGGCCAAGGGAAAGGTGGAGGGGAGAATGCTCTTCACAAACAGCTAGAAAGCCTTGGAGAGCTAATCCCTAATAGTTCTGGTTTATTGGCTCTTGCCTAGACAGGAGAGGAAATGGTGTACAGCTGTGAAGAGCTGGATCAACTATAATGGTTACCTCAGATCTCCTAGAAAAAAACCCACAAATCTATGCTGAAGGAAAGAACTGCAACTCCATCCCCCAGGAGAGCTGGAAGAGGTATTTGATAGCCAAAACCACTGAGGATGAAGTACCATTCTGCCTTCTTGGGGAGTCCAACTATCATCTACCTCCTCTCCATGTCTTGCAAAGTGGCTGTGTTTCCCAAGGTAGTAAGGCACTAAGGGTGCAGAGAAAAGCAGAAGGGACAATAAGAAGTTACCTCATTCTTACCAAAACTAATGGTAATTATATAACCAATGCTTTTTGAGACCCCTCCCAAATTCACTGCCTATTTGCTCTTAATTCCTCCTATTTAGGGTACTGGCTGGCTGTAAATCTCCAAAGGTACCTAGTCAGTAGGAAACACTGCCCAGAGTTTAGGCTACCTGAGCAGAGTCCCAGGTGCTCATGTGTATTTTAGGCACATAAAAAACCCTTTAAAAGTCTGGTCAAGAGTCCTTTCCTTGAACTGAAGGCTCATATTCCTAGATGAGTCCCTTAACCAAAACTGCCACCGTAACAAACACACAGGCATCTCCTCTCCTGGATGTGGGTGGATTTGATGCCTGCACTGGTTATAAGAAACAATGTCCTAGAGAACATGAAATTTAGGAAGATGAGTAAGTATGAAGTGCGGAGGCAGAGAGAGATGATCCACATATTATGTGCTTTTATTTAATAATTTAAAAATAAATATCAGATTTCCCCAAACTGCCCCTCAGCCTAGCAATTATATGTTGGCTGATTTCTTGTTAGTGCTGTTCTTTTATAATAACAAACTGTTCCCAAAGCCTCACATACAGAGAGTTAGACAATCAAACTACTGTGTGCGATTTTCCACTTAATTCATTCAGTTAGCTGCAATTAAAACAATACAATTCAAAGCCTTGTGTGTTTCTCTGAAAAAATACAAAACTTTAGTTGTTACTATTAATATATACAACCTACAAAAAAGAGTTAACAAAGCCCCTTTGTCTTCCCTGTTGTAGTAGAGTAATTTTCTTACCCTTTTCTGTAGATCCCCTTGCAGTCATCAATATTTCTTTCAGTCACTGTTCTTCAAAAGACACACGCTTTTCATTCAACTGCACAGAAAGAAAAGGAATTCAGTGGGCAAGATTCCCTCCCTGGTCAGATCCATTCACCACAGATAGCCAGGGAGGAATCTAGGTGAAGGTGCAGGGGTCTCATCAAGAGAATCAAACCTATTTAGACGGGAAGGGGTGATGATTTTAGCAGGCAGTAAAAAAATTTCTGTTCAGATTTTATATAGATATTTTACCTAAATATTTCCTATTTCTGGAAAAGCAGTGTCTTCATGGCTACTGATCTCTGCTCACTCACTTAGTATAAATGACATACTAAGTTTTAGCGTCACTATAGAACTGTTCCTTTTTTGTTTTATGGGACTTCACTAATGAAACCTGATGACGATTTAATTAACATTATACCAGTTTCACAGACACAAAAGAGAACAGAGGCTGCATCCTGCCCCACAAGAAAGCGTTAAGCCATCCTAACAGAGCAGCTGTGACTGTCTCCCGTTCTACCAAACTCACCCAATACTGGGCAGATTTCCATCAGCCAAGAACAAGCTCAGAGAGCAGTAACATCCCTGCAGACCGAGGATGTGCTGTGTTTGTCCAAGTCTCACATTTCCAGAGCTTCTATGAGCAAGGTACATCTCAACACTGTCCCAAGTAGACTATACTCCTGACACGCTACTCTTCGGTATGTTAATTCAGTATTTCAGCTCTAATTGTTGACAGAGACTTTGATTCAGCCTACTCCTGCAACAGAATAACAAATCACTGATTTGGATCTGTAGTTTTAATTATTATCCCACCAACATAAATCAGCATTTCATTTAAGCTCAGTTCCTCAAGAAAGAACTATTGTGCCTACTTGATAAGATAGTATGAAATTTATCCAAACATTTGTCAAACCATGAGAAATTTTATTGGAAGAATATGTTCTGACATTTTGTGAATAATGTCCCCCAAGAAAAAGTAACACCAAAATGTGTGTCAGAGCAGAGATTTCCAAAGTCTGGTCCAAAGTGCATTCAGTTTATCTAGTGCTCACCTTTATTCTTTCATTCCAGTACAAAAGCAAAAAAAGGTATGGCAAAGTAAAGAACCAAAACCAGCATATTTTTTTTTCCAGAAAGGCAGAACTCTGCCAAATCCAGCTCGAATTATAGAAACACTTTCCAGTATTTTCCTTCCAGTTGCTGCAGTTCTACAAATATGGTATGCAGTGATGAATGACAAGGAAGGCAATTCACCAGACAAGGTACTTACTCCAGTTATTCCTATTAAAAGAAACGCTAATATCATATTCCTGGCATATGACTTTATGCTTGAAGAATCTTGCAGTTTGCATATAATCTGGGTGAAAGAAATATAGTTGAAAGACCACATCTCCAACTGTTGATGAATGTTTCCAGCAAGTCTAACAAAAAAAAAAACCCCAACCATCTCTGCTTGGCACATGTTTTTTCCAAATGTGTTTTCTTAAGTCACTGCAACAGAGATAACACTAGGCAGATAGCAACTGCCTGTGTTCTGTAACAAACATACTTTTCATAAGGTATTTCAAGGCAATTGGATTACTAACAAACTTAATAAAAAGTTAAAACCATCATCAATGTATACCAAGGATCATGTTATTACAGTAAAGTATATACAGTAAGGCACTATCCATGAAATCAAAGAGATATTTCATATCACTTCAATATACTGACATAATTGACCGACCTATAACTACACTTAACCTTCTTTATGATTTCAAGTGCCCTTATGTCCAATACCTGAAAACATGCAATTCAGTTCCACAGAGTAACTCCAAAAATCACATCAAGGAAGTCCTTTATTGGTTTCTCTCAATGACTTCCAGATTAAATCTGTTCTTCTATAAACACAGTAAAGGTTTTCTGTGTCTAGTCAAAAACACAAGGTTGAAGTTAGTAGATCCTTTCAATCCAGCAACAAAGGACCACGCAACTGGAGCACAGCTAATAACTCCGCTGATGACACACATACCAGAACAAAAATCAGTGCTGAGACCCTTAGTATCAGAAGAATAAAACCATATTTAAAAACTAAAACAAGATTATGGAGCACACAAAGGGAACAGGTTTGTATATGAAAGTATCTACCTTTTACCTACTCACCTTTCAGGCATTTGGCTTCATTAACTCCCAAGTATCAGTGCAAGAATGAACAGAAATGCCAGAATGCCAAGGTAAGGAACAGGCAGACATTGTAAATCTGTTCACAGTAGTGTTCCAGATTGGTGCTAAAATAAGAGTTATGAGCTACATTCATTTGAAGTAAATATAAGAATATCTATACTCAGTTCAGGCCTTCTTTATTCATCATCTACTTGGGAAGAAAAGAAGAAATTATAGCTTCTGTAGAACAGCATTCACTTCTGTCAGTGACAGAAAGTGAAAGCGAACAAACTCTGGCCCTTCTCCCATTCAAGTCAAGGAGAGTTACATGTGCAAATCCTCAAGGATGACATCTATCCGCCTAATATGGCCATGCTTACCCAACACTGTAAGCTTCCAGATCAAAAGCAGTTGGCTCAACCCTCCAGAAGAAAGGTTTCATAGCAAAACATTCTTGCAAATAGAGGTTGGGTGCACAAACTTACCATCTCTCCCTGTAACAAAAGCTTTCTTCCTTTAAGTTTGCCAGAAGATGAGAAGACGTGATCTATACCAGTCACACCAGAAGTGTGGTCACTTACAGTGACCTTTCAGGGCCATAAATCTTGAATAGTTTCTGTTATGAATGGATAAGTGTTCTCCAGGCCTCCTAGAACAGTGAAACAAAAAAGAGTAAAAGAAACCCTGGAGTCCTCTAGAACCTTTCCAGCATTTCCATCTACCTTTCCATTCAGGTATTTCTACCCTTGGTTGTTGATACTAAACAAACCCATGGATGCACTGAACAGAGAGAAATCATCAGCAGTTAATAAAACTAAACGATGCTAGACAACATTGCTGTATTGAGCAAAATAGATTCTTCTCTCAAACAGCAATGACAGGAGCAGAGAGAAAAGCAGCAGATGCGTGGTGACACAGACCTTCAGCTGGGAAGGCAAATGGGCAGGCCTTGGCCGTTGTGTAAATTCTGTGGTTTAGTCCTGGAGGTTGTGGCTTCAGCCCAGGTCCCAATTCCTTACCACAAACCACCAGAGACCTCTCTGAGTAAATGCAATGCTGGCTCCTTCTCAGCGAGGCTCCATTAAATTTAAACATCAGTCATGCAAAGGGCCTCTAGTTTAAGCATCCTGCTATAGACATGGTTATTCAGCACAGCAATATGGAGGCACAAACGGGCTGGAGTGTGAGATAGCTGAGAACCATTCAGTTTAACAACCAGAGAAGATCTCCTGACCACCTCCCATCCCCACAGGCTGCCTGTCTTGTTGGACAGCCCCTTGGGAACATAATCCAGCCGCCCGCTCTTAATCAGACACAGAGGACTGCAGATTACTTCACGTTGCCTGTACTCCAGGAGCATCCCGGGGACCTTAATCATGGTCCTCAGCCATGCTCCACTGCATTCCAGGAACATGCGGGGAACTTAATCCTGTTGCTCAGCCACACTCCGCTCGGCACTTTCCACAGACAGGCAAAAGGCAGGCTCTGCAGGTCAGGGCTGCTCTGAGGAAGGCCTGTCCACCTGCAGCACTACCTGCAGAGCAGCAGCTTTTGAACCACCCCATGCTCTAGGATGCCATTCCCAACATGCAAACATAGCTAACTCAGCCTCTGTTTCTCAACACCGGGAACGAGGCCAACCTACATGAACACCAGTGGTCAAAGTCACCCAACCTGTTGCCACTGGAGCTATAAAGGTGAAAGCTACACGCGGGGCAGCCCTGGGTTTGCATTTTGGTCCAGATGTACACAGAGAAAGGAGCGAGGGCAGAGCGGAGACAGTGGGAAGCTTGGAGAGAAGGAGGGTGTCTGTTACTTGAAATCACTCTAAAGCACATTACAAATCTGTTAAATCATTGTGGGTTACCCTGTATTTCAGAGTAAATTAGTAACTTTTCAGAGGGAGTGAAGAAACTACCACTCCACTTTTAAATAATGAAAATGCTAAAAAACCTACACTTAACAGCTCTAAAACTGCAGCAAGTCACCCACCAACACCCACTCCTCTTGTCAGCAGGCTTTTTTCAGCTTTGCCTATTATTTGTGTCAAGCCAAAGATGTTTAATGTTTGCTGCACTCATCTGCTTAACTTTAAGGAGCCCCAAATGCTACAATATGTACCTGGGCCACTGACCTCTTTCCTCGTAGCATTCTGATCTAAATAAGTAATAAACACAGAGTTTCCAAAATCATTTGGATTCACTGGCTCCGAGTGCATAGCTGTAAAAAATCTGCTTTAAGATTAACATCCAATTTTATTCATGCCTGAGGCTTCACCACAGCATCTATTTTTGTAAGATTAACAGCAAGATCCCAGTTCTCCAGAAATGTAAAGAGTAACAGCCAATTGTAAAAGGAAGATGATGTTTCCTAACCTGCCCTGCTCCCATCCAGGAACGTACATTTTCCTAGCCCTTTCCGTGGTGGGTGTAATTTCTATTTGCATTTTTGCACCCACAACATGCAGCATGAGTATTAGTCCTTCTGCCTCCCATTAGCTGAAATGCATTTCTGATGAAACTGTGGGTGCCAAAAAATACTAACACAAATCTCACATGTGCAAAGTGTCCCCTGAAAGGCAGCTTCTACTCTGGAGGAGTTCAGAAGCAGCCATCTTCCTGTACTTTGCACAACAGCATTAGGAATCATCTAACTTGAAAATACAAGTATAGAGAAAAAAAGCGCTTGATATTTCAGCTAATTCATTTGAAATGAATACTCATGAAAACACCTCTTTTTGAATATGGTGATCGGAGGACAAATTGAGGGCCATTTTTAACCTAAACAGCAGAAGAAAAGTTGCTGTTAAAAGTGCCTTTGATATCTGTCAATTAGAGCTATTGCATTGCTATCAACTTGCACTCCTTCTGTAGTTCCAGCTTTGCTCCATTCTACACAGAGCCGTACAAATCAATTGTCTTTTGCAAACATGCACTAACCACTGGAAAGTGAAATTAATAAAGTGCGAGAAAAGCTGATTCATAAAGCTGACACTCCTGTCCCCAACAACTCCGGGTTTCTCCCCTCCAGCTAGCTGTTTGAGATAGGCAGGCAAAGTGGCAAAAGATTATCAAATTGCAACTGTCATTCCTGACAAAACGCATCTCAATGCTGGAAGGAATTTTAGGTTTTAAGTTAAAACACCACCCCAAAGGGTTCCTCAGAGCCTGTCAATATCTGTACCTTGGATGGAAAGCTACCACTGAGCGCAGTGTGTCCAACATATAGAACCTGCCACGAAATGAAGTTCTTCATAAGAAAGCTCATCTCAGTCTTGGTTGGTAACAATAACAAGGAGACAAGATGAGACCATCAGTCTCAATTGTGAAGACAATGTTTTCCTCCCATATTATTCTGTCTGTCATGTTCCCTTCAGGTTCCAAAGGAATCCCTGTCTCATACATCATTATTTCCCACAAAGCTTGAAAGCCTTCAGGGGGGGTTTCTTCCTGC